GTGGCCAGTATTTCGGTAAACAAATTTATCGTTTATCTCTCAAAGAGCTTATCGGTATTACCTTCTATGTTCTTAATCAGGCCTTGATAAAAAAAAAAAAAAAAAAAAAACAAGCGAGAAGAAAATATCGTTGTTTACCGATTAAAACAAAGTACATTTTAGATAAAAATTAAATACTTTTTTTTTTGTGTTTTTCGTTACAGAGAAAAATTTCATCCTTCTTCTTGTTTATAAGTCCTCTTCACTCATTGTCGAAAAATATTTCATTACGTTTGAATGACAAAGTAAAAATGTCGTCTTGTTTTTAATCGATTACGCATGTCTCGCCTTTCTTTATATCACAAAGCGATTGTTATTGTGTCGTAATTGTTACAAAATTGCTGTTTCTTCAAGCAGAAAAAATATGCTTCATATGATTTTGATTTTTAACCAAATAATCAATACAATAATCAAATATTTACCGTTCTCAATTAATTTAACAGTTTCTATTATCTTATGTTTATATCAGGACAAAAAATAATTCATTAACTTTGTACCAGTTTAAAGGCGGCATCATAGGGACGTTTCACATTCAATTTTTGTCTCACATTTGTGTTTAGACTTTTTTTCAGTCAAATAAAATAAATATTTTCTGTTGCTTTGTGAGATCATAAAACCAATAAGTGGTACATATTTAAAAGGAAATTACAGACTTTTTGTTGACATGAATTCTTATAATTGTTGCAGAACTTTATTTTTTTGATGAAATAATTTTAGCTAATAAACATATGAAGCCCCAGCGCTCAGTTTTATTGACTTTTTGCTGTTATCGTTTTTGTTGTTGAACATAAAATAATTCCTCTATTTATTCTTTTTTTTTATTCTATCACTTGATCACTGTATTTTCTTTGTTCCCTGACTCAGTTATGTTCTTTCGCGAACATTTTAATTTAATAAATTTTTTTCCTTATGTAAAATTTTATTAACATGTTTTCAGCAAATTGTTATCGTTTGAATTTTTCTTATTTTTTCTTTCAATTTTCGACGTTCAGACTGGCTATCTTTTTTTTCTACTCCGATCAAGTTAATATTTTCACCATAATATAGTAATATTAATAACACCCACAAATAAATCTTGTGATATTTTTTCTTTCATTATAGTATTTAAGTGAACTTGTAATTTCTTCGATCGCCTTATTTTTCCTCCGCTCGTGAAACATTTTTTCCCGCATCCAACCTTTCTTTTTTTTGCACTCCCCTTTTTTCTCTATTCTCCCATCCCCCATCTTCACGTAAAACTTGCACAGCCAAAAAGCCAAGAAAACAATGTCTCTCGCTTTCTTCAACGTAACAAAATAGGTAGGCATTGGTTGGATTTTAGCAAACATAAATTGTTAAGCCAATACCACGCATTGTAGGTTTTTATAATCTTCTATAAAAGCTTGCCATTGATGGAACGTTAGTGGTCTCACTATTTCGTCCCGTTGCGATTTATCCATCCATATTCGTTGCATAATGATTTTTGCGCAAACATTTTTTGACGCTAACCGGGGATGTATGTTATGCATTCCCTTGCACGCCCAACCTTTTTGTTATATTATTGTCTTTTAACGAGAGAAATAATTTACCAAACAGATGTTTTTGGGGAATATCCTGAGGTAACCTACGGCCTTTTGTGATCTGCTTTCTTAAAAGAAACCTTGCATATTGGAATGTAAAGTCTACATCGGTTAACATCATCCATATACATGTTTTTCTGACAGCACTTGCAACGTGTAAGGTACTTTTATGGTGTCTCATTTTCGAAAGCGAAAAAATATCGGATAGCCAAGCAAGGCGCATAATTCGCATCAACTCCGTCACTATGCACAATACGAAATCTTGAAAGTCCGTTGTACTGTCTTCACCGAGGCTTGTGTTGGTGTATTGGTTCTGAAGGATGAACGATGGTTTGCAGATACATTTTTTCAATATCTGCGTTAAATATATAACCAAACATGCGCCATTTTAACATCGAAAGGATAAATTCTGCTTGCAAGCTTGGCCCAGGACATTATTAAGGCTGTTTCCGTTGGAAGTTGTGTTAGATGAATTAAATGCCACTGGTAATTTAGTGGATGCGCTATGAGACTTAAACACAGCATAGTGGGGTAAATAATAATTAGCATCATCGTTAATGATAACCGTAGACGGCACTTTTTCCATGTGATTGAGTATTTCATATTGTTTATTTTGATGTTTGGGTGCTTTAAAAGGCGAATTTCATAAAGCAGGAATTGCGATAAGACGTTTTGATAGGATCGTCCCAAGCGTGTAGGACATTCTTACAAAACTGGTAGGGGCACCAGATACCGGCTGTTCGAATTCCTTATCGCCGTTCGAACAAACAGTTCTTCACGACGTCTGTCGCCAGCGGATGGGTATAAAGTCTTCGATACTTTTTCAAATTTCCAACATTTTTGTAATAGCTCACAAATATCAATAGTATTAATATGTGAGGCTATTGATTGTAGAGGTGACGAATTGTCTATTTTTCCTATAATAACCCATCTAAAGGCTGTACTTTGTGCGAGGAGCGTTTGCTGAGGGTCATCTCTAATTCTTTCCAAAATAATTTGATGGTAGGTATCACCCCCCAATAAAAGGTGCATTTGAACATTATTTGTCATAGAGATGTTAGTTACAAGTAAATTTGGAAAATGTTATGTGCTAAGTGCAGCAAAAGGCGGTTAAATACAAATGCATCTATCTGAACCTGAAATTGGGAACTGTGTATGAACTTGTTTTAAAGGCGCACAAAAGAAGCGAGGTAGCTGATAGTACCCCGTTGAGGCCGGTAAATTGTATTTTTGCCGATTTCAATGGGAGGGCCAATCTTTTTCGGAGTCGACTCGAGATGGAACTGGCTTCAGAACCAGAATCAACGAGGGTCGTAATGAGATATTAAATAATTCCGAACTCTTAACATCCTGTGCTATTACGTTGAAATTTGTCGAAGTCTTCACTTATGCGAGAAGGGTGGTGGAGATAAGCTTTGTATATAGTTAAGTACTGGGAATTAATTTCCGAAAGGGAAGCATCAGCAATAATTTCATCAAAAACTGGTAAGAAAGTATTATATGTATGTTAGAGAGTAAAATGGAATACAGGAAACTATTTGAAGAGTTTAATCAAGCATTCTTTAACCACAATTTATTAAGCGTTGTCAAATAAGAATTGAACAGTCAAAAATTTTCGAAACGAACTGGATAATACGCTGCACTTTATTTCATTAGTAAAATGATTTGAATAATATAATTATACAATAACTCCACTTAAGTAAAAACCCAATTGTAGGTAAGCCAAATAGAGATGATATCCTTGAAAAAAATGTTAATATGAGACGTACATACGGACAAAAGATGTGCATTGTTTTATACGTTTCCCAACTTCTTCATTTCGCATGCAATAGCTATGGGATTATAACAATAAATATTCATTCCTTGATGTGCTTAAACCATTGGTATGCATAAAATAACGAAATTTTTTATATAAAGAGTTTTCTCAATCTTTTTTTAAATTACGTTTGATGCCTTTTAGTTATTTTTAGACACAGTTCAACTAATTATTCAAATAGAAAAAGCTCGACATATGAAGCACATACCTCCAATGGCGTCGAATACATTTTAATTTGCAAATCTCTTTTTCGCTTGTGAACCCGTTATTAGCTTATGAATAGGTTTTTAAGGTTATGAATCCATTCCTTGGTTCGCGAATTGCTCTTTCGCTTATGGATCTGACTTTTGGCTTGTGAATCAGTTTTTTTAGATTGTCAATCCATTTTTAGCTTATCAAACCGTTTTTAGCGTTTTAATGTATTTTTAGCTTATAAAAGCATTTTTCGTATACGAATCCATTTATGAATTCACTTTTAGCATATGAATATGAATCAAGTTTCATCTGTGAATCGGCTTCTCCCATATGAATCTGTTACTTAGGTTATGTATCGTTCTTGTGGTTTTTCAATTTTTTTTAAACTTATTAACCCATATTTTAGCTTGTGAAACCGTTCTTTCTCTTATGAAACAGTTTTTGCTCATGAATTTTTTTTTATGTTTTGAATCCTTTTTTAGCATAAGAATGCCTTTTTTAGCTTGTGAATGTGTTTATAACCTATCAATCCATTTTTAGGTTAGGAACACTTTTTTTGGTTTGTCAATTCGTATTTATCTTTTTAATCCTTTTTTTTGAGCTCATCAACCTTTTTTTACTTTGTGACTCCGTTTTTTAGCTTGTGAATACCTGTTTTTTAGCTCGTTTTAAGCAAGTGTTTATCTTTTTACTTTATGAATACATTGTTAGCATCCTAATCTATTTGTAACTTGTGAATTCGTTTATAACTCATAAATGGGATTTATAAGCTAACTCGTTTATAGCTTTGATGTCTGTTTTTAACTTATGAATCCCTTTTCAGCTAGTGAGTCCGTTTTCAGATTATGAATCCATTTCTGTCTTAAAAAATTGGAATTTTAGCTTATGAGTCCTCTCTTTTCGTTTGTCAATCCGTCTCCGGCAAGGCAAATGTTTTGAAGCATTTTAAGAGAGGATAGTATATCTCTTTTGCGCCTGTTAATAATAACCTCTAACAACGATTAAAATTTCCAGGCGCACTTTATATACAATCTGTTCAAAAGCAAAAAAAAAAAAAATATTTCACGCCCACATGGTTTTATAAAGTACCGCTGTTTTTTTTTTTTTTTAGTTTTTAGAGGTAATGTGTATTAAATATTCCCCTCCTTCCTAATATAAACTTCGTACTTGTTCTTGTTGGGTATTAGCAGAGTACGGTTTATGGTTCTTATTATTGAGCTACCGTAAGATACAAAAGGCAAACACGATACTATCGTAACATTAGCTGAACATTTGGATATCACCAACTGGCTATGACTAAAAATGCATTACTAAAAATTATTATTATATAAATATATATTTTGTTGTTAATTTTATCCCCTGCTTAATGAAAAATCATGTTTTCCAAAATGCAAATGGCTGAAAAAATTAATAAAATTTGGTTGTGGTTAAAATAATGAAGTTTACTATTGCTGCTTTCTTATTGATTCTAATAATTAAATTTACAGAAATTTTAAGATTCATTGAAATCACAGCAACTAGGCGACAAAATAAGAGTTCTTTCATCATCGTCAAGTAAAAGGCCATTTTCGCTATTGTCCAGATCGTTTAAATTTGGTTGATGTCGTGACGGTGACGAGCCATCTTCGCAATTAGTTGCATAAACATGTGGCTTTTGACGTTGAGCAGACAGCTGATTGGAATCGTCAGTGTCGGTATCCCTAATAGAATTAAATGCACTGGTAGCATTTGTGTTTGGCGAAGAAATTTCATCGTTGGGAGGATACACATGCCGATGAAAACTTCCGCCAATATTGTTGTTTATGCTGCTGTCACCATCTAACTCAGAATCTCGTACGCTCCCAAACATAGGTGTATGCGAGGAGCTATATTGCATACTAGTTGGTGGCGACCAAGCGGTTTGATACAGAGGTGACGCAAAAACGTACATATGATTCAAATATTCTACGTCATAAGAAGGCAGGTACGAATCTGTTTCCAAAGGATTGTAATATTGCGAAGTACTTGATTGATATATCGGTGTTTGTTGGCAACTAAAAGAGCCCGAATTACCGTCCCCTATATATCGCGGTGTAGCACAATTTTGACTTCTTATCGAAGAAGTAACTTGGTATGAAGATTGCATTGTCAGAGGCGGCATTGTTGCATATATACCACGATATGTTTCGAAAGGTGTTTGCGGGCAATAAGCATCTGACCACCTCACATGATTTGGGGTATAGTCACCCTTTGCATAAAGCTGCAATAAATAAATAAAGTGGTTTCTGTTAGTCAAAATAAAATCTTACGATATGTAGCTACTTATAACTCAAATACTTTCACAAAAACAACTGGAATGGCAAACAAGTTGCTAACACTTAATGATGTTATTAATTTAGCCAGGGAATAAGTTCTAAGACTAAAGTGTTAAAGCACTAGAATTTAAGGCTATCGGCTTTGTTGAAAACCCTACCGTACTTCAGATTTAAACTCACGACCATGTTAGTCGAGATTATTTGCCTTCGGCCATGCAAATGAATTTCATTACTCTACTTTTATCATAAGAACTTATAACAGCTTAAACCAAGGCAAAAGGTCACTCGACTTATTTATGAACTAATAACAACTGTAAAGGAAATAAAGCGCAAATAAACTAAAGCATAAAGTTGAACATAAAGTTACGAACATGCTATTAAGACGAGGAGCTTGACAATGTCGGTGTTAACGCGTAAAAGACGTTCGGCGTTCGGTGGTTTGAGAGAGGAGGTTACGATATCTTAATTTGCCCTGAAAATGCGGGAAGAAAGGTGAGCTTAGCTGATAGCAGGTGCGTGGAAACCGAACTTTATAAAATCTAAGTCTAAGATCGCATCCATTTCTCCCGAAATTTCAAATATGCATAACAACGATGTTTAAACGATATAAATTTGAACTGTCCACAAGACGTCGTGCGGTATATATCAAATTGTAAAGAGATGAATGTTATTTATACCTCTGCACTTTGTTCTGCAGGTCAAGCTACAAAAATGGTTAGGTTGGCTTGGAGTGAAAATGCAGCAAGTTAGGAAGCAATAAGAAAGTGGTTTCGTCAGCGAAACTATGGTCAGTACTCAGTCGCGAAAGCATAACAACCCTCAGTTATTTTTGACAGTCACAGTGTTGCACTGAATATTGTCTTCATGTGACAATTTTTTTAAAGAAAAGCGTTAGGAATGTGGTACATATGGAAGGGCCATGGCCGCAAATATGGTGCTTATAGAGGATCCAATCCATTTTCAATAGGAGTCGTGCCTGGGCTAAGTCACGCCAGCGTTCCAAACTTCGTCAATATTCAAAAATTGTGACCTCCAAGTTGAACATAAAAGAAACGGGAGTCTGCATTATTAGTAAACGCGCATGTTGTAGGTTACTCCGAAAAATTAGTTTTTTCTTACGGAAAATACGCTATGTGAACGTTTAAAGGGTAACGACTGAATGCATTATTTTCAAACTATCAACTCGTCTCCAAAGAAGTTTAAGAAACAGTAGAAAACGTCGCTGAAAAAAAAAATAAAATGTTAATACATGTACGGGAGACCTTTGACAGGTATATACGAGAAATAAATAATAACAAAGATGTAGCAAATGAGGTATAAAAAGAATGAAGTTATCCGAGTGGATGTTTTGATATCTGAAGACATACGATTAGTGGAAAATAAAGCTAAACAATGAAAAAATCAAGAAGACTTAATTGACAAAGTGGACCCAGAAGACCGTAAGTTATCAAATATACAATACAAGAACTAATGGAATGGTTATTATTGAAAGTGAAACTACAGTAGAAACAGACAAAATAAAATTAACAATACAACAAAGTATGGAAAAAGCAACCAAATAAAATTAAGATACCCAATAAGCTCAACTCTACAGTAGAAATACCGAACGAAACTAAAAAATCAAAACGCTGAACTTGAAACTCAAAATTTTAGATATCGCGAATATGTGCATCGCAGTGTATGAAGGTGGCGAAATAATGACAGGTATTAAATCTAACGATTTTAACCATGAAGCTAGTAACATTAAAAACTAAGAAAATGTTGCAAGTGCCATGGAAACCATAGTTCTAAACATTGTTATGCATCCCACACAAATAAGTTTCTAAATTGCCTAAGAGCAAACCAAAAATTTTGCGGTAAATTTTCCACTTCACAAGAAGCAAACAATGTCATATTTATCAAACCAAATTAAGTATCAAAAAGAAGCAAACTCGGTATTTGCACCAACGAAATAACAGAATTCAAAAAGTTGCAAAAATATATGAGCTAGAGTGAAACAAACAAACATATTGAAGCTTCATACTATAATATATTAGATGCTTAGATTTATTTTGACAACTTTTTTACTTGAAAAAGGCATTTATTGAGAAAAATTGATACAATACGTATTAATGAAAATATTTTCCATCATTTTCTACAACTTTTTTCCCATTTTTCTGGCAACATGGAGATACCGTCTTGAAAGGACGATATTGCATCCAATCATAAACACATTTTCGCACTTCTTCAACTTTTGCATTGGTCTGAAGAAGAAATATTCGGAAGGTCTTTTGAGTACACTGGATACGGCGGAACTTTCCATTCGAGCAGGAATAATGCAACCTTTACAACTCTTGCTACGTGTGGCCGAGTGTTGTCATGCAAGAGAATGAATTTGCGTCTGTTAACCGCTATTACTGGTCTTTTTTGCAAAAAAACATCGTTTAACTTGTTGACGTCGGTAAACATCTAAAATAATAGTTTCATTCAGTTTTAGCGGCTCGTAACACACCAATGGTGGTAGGGGCATCTTTTGGAGATTATAAATTCTATCAGGTTGCTCAAATTTATCCAAACTATGACGTAACAGTTCTTGCAATGGACGACTTTTGATAGTACATTTAGTTTGACCAGCTTGTGCGCATAAGATAATTTTTTTAGTTTCTCCATTCTATAAGGACAAGACCTTATTTGTAGTATTTCTTTTACGAAATATCTTCTCAATCTTTTCCCAAACGTGTAATGATGTTGTTAAGTCTCCCTAAACCATAGATATTGCCATCACAAGTGCGTTTTATAAGATTGCCAAATATCACGAAATATAATCAAATGTTTTTGATGAGCATTTAGAAGCACTACGAAATTGCAATTTGCCAACAGTGGTATCATTTGACAAAACTTTTCCTTCCTCATTCGATATTCGCCAGATTATAAAAGTTGATTTCGCATATGTTGTTCCAACAAGATATTTCAGTTACGCCGTACGAAAATACGTTAGTTAAACCATTGGTTAGCGGATTGCGGTAACCAATCAAAAATGTTCGTTTCTTTATGAAATAAACGAAAGAGACTGGGTGCTGTTTAAAGCATGTAGAGTCGTTTTAGTCCACACTTTGAGTTATTCTTGCTTTCGTCGTTGCTGTTGCTGTGATGCTTGTGCAACAATTGCCGGAGATTCTGACTCACCCATTAGTTATAATTTTTACATTTTACCGCATAATTCACAATTCGCTTTTCCTTACAAAATTTAATATATTTTCTTTAACTCCTTAAATGAGATGTTCTTCAACATAAACACAAAAGGGAAATAGAAATATTCGCCGTACACTTTTAACTTCTACCCACAAAACAAAAAATCTCTTCCACCTTTTCCTATTTTTTGGTTTCTCCCAGGCAAGCCAACCTCACATGCTTGCCAATTTTTCTGTCCGTCATCATTTTTCGTCACTGAAATTACCGGCACTATATTCCACAGAGTTGTATTTGCAAAGTTCAAGTGCTACGTACACGCCTTAACCAATGGACACACTAACAATTAACTTAGAACTCAGACGTTGGAAAGTAACAACAGAAGAATAAAACCACGAACTTCACTACGAGCCCGAAAGAAGCAGTGCATTGGGCGGCGCAAGACAACATAGTAATCAAAGCCTAATCCAACTAGCAAATACTTCAATAAATACATTTGTCAGCTCGATAGATAGCCAAGCGAAACGCAATCATGCGAACTCCAAATTTTTCTTGCAACATATGACAGGCACGTTACAATAGAACCAATTCCTAATGCAATTAGAGTGGAGAAAGTCCTCAAGCAATATTTAAATCCACCAGTCACCAGTATGCAAGCTACTGACGAAATAATAGGATATGTGGAGGAAATAAATTTTACAAACTCCTACACACACAAGATTCTCTACACCAGGGCAATGGTAAACCACATTATCGAAGAGTCATAACAAAAAGTGGAAATAATAAGCAAACATAACAGAGCCCACAGGAGTGCCGAAGGAAATAAAGCCCAACTGCTCAACAAATGCTATTTCCCACAAATGACAACGAAGGTAAAAAGAATAAGGAAACCGTGCAAAATTTGTAAGGAGAACAAATACGACCGCCAGCCTAAGAATATTTCCATACAAGAAACATTGGTTCCAACATACCGAGGTTAGATAGTACAAATTGACATTTATATCAAAGAAGGAAAGTTTATGCTGACAGCGATAGATAAGCTAACCCAGTGTGCGTGAACGAAAATATTGAAATCAACAACTGCTGAAAGCTCTAAACAACTACTAAGGGAAATACTTACGAACTTCGGTACACCGGAACGGCAGTGAAGGATAATGAAAAATCAGTCGGTTCTACAGCGATGGTGTTCATGATAGAAAGTCAATTCAACGTTAAGATCTTCCGGAGATCACCGTACGCCAGCTCGATCAATGGTCAAATTGAAAGAGTTCACTCCACTGTATTCGAGATTATGAGATGTCAGAAGTCGGAAACAACACTAACAGGTTCATCCAAATTTCTGGGTAAATTTATTCACCAACATAACAACGCTATTCACTCAGCAATTGGAAGGAAACCGGTTGAAACTGGAGGAAAGTTTTACAGCAAACGACGGTCTCAGGAAAAGACAATTGTCCGATTTGTATTACCACAATTGCAACAGGAGCTAACCGAAAGCCTACAAAATAGGCGACAAGATTTTTCTTAAGCAAAATAAACGGTTAGACAACAAACTATCCAAAAATTACTAACAAGAAGAAGTAACGGAAAATGGACACACAGTTCTGCTAACAGAAGACGAGAAGGTTGTGCGCAAAAGTAACATACGCAGTTACGGACGCAGTGCCTCTGCTTGTCAGTATAATGTTTATAGTCCCCAGCTCAGGTGAAGTTAAAATTCACATGTCGGTTTTGTCAAAGTACAATCCGGTACCATGAAATTAATAAAGGCGCTCAAATTAGAAGATTACCAAACATTGACAGACGAAATTTACTTTACCATAAGGTCGATCCCACATGTCTTCTCTTTATCCATAAAACCAAAATATAAAAACACATCTTTATACTTTATTGGGTGGTATTTTTGTTATAATGAAAACAATTGTTGGATAATCATAATTAGTACGACCTTAGAAAAAATGGACGAAATTACAATGAAAGCCAATGAAATATTGAAATTTGTTGAAAGTGAGGGCACGAGAGATCTTTTAGTAAGTAATTAAAAATAAGAATTAGACGACATTATTAGCCAACGGTGGACTATAGATTGCGCGAAGGCCGCAATTCTAAAAACCTTTATTGTCTAAAAACGAAATGTGCATGGTTGCAACCGAAAATGTAAAGTCTACTAATATTGAATAATCTTTTGAGATCAGTCTTAACTTCGTCGCTAACCAAAGTTCCCATTATAAGTATCACATTATAGGTACCCTAGCAGCAGAAAAAGAAGCATGGATGGAAAAAATCCCAAAACGATAGAAAATGGCTACCACACGAATCGATGGAAAATTAAAAAAAAAAAATGTTTTCTGTAGCGTATTGTGACTGACGATGAAAAGTGGACCTACTACGACAATATCAATGGCAAAGGGCCAAACACATCGACGCCGAAGTGGAATATTCGTAGCCACCAAATTTTGCCGTGCGTATGGTGGTTGTAGTCTATTACAAACTACTAAATCCGAATAAAATCGAACAAACTTACTGATAAAGATAGCTGTACGTATCAAGAAAGTACTGAATAATGTGCACTTGGAATTTCAAGAAGCAGTTGTAATAAACAACGGCAACGTAAGCGCCATCAAGTTTGTAAAAAAACCCGATCTATCACACGCAAGGCAAACATATTGACACGCCTTATCTAGACTACAGATACGTACCACATTTGCGATATATATAAACGAGATGTAATTCAGTTAACTTATTACAGCAATATGGACATGGTTTTTGGTGTTCCTATAAAACACTTACCAGGAGTGCTTCATAAAAAATGTACGAGTTTGTTAAATATTCTTAGCTTAATTAATTATATTTACGGGTTCGTTGAGTAGGAATGGTGACTTGCAAATCCTTTTTTAGAAAAAATATAGTTTCTTACATGCGAAAGTTGATCTTTTTATGCTTTTCTTTTTCCGTCAGTGTTATTTTAATATTTTAAATTAATATTAGTAATAATATTATAATAGTAATCGTAAGTAAATAAATAAAATAAAAATAAGTAAAAAGATTATATTCGGTCGTAACCGAATCTTTTATCTTAGTAGAGATAAAAATAAATAAAATGATATGCTATACAATGTTGGGAAGGCGCGACCGATTATTTCTACTTTCCGAATAAAATTGGAAATTTATATGGTGTATTTGTTGTACTTTATGAGTAACAAGCGAAAAGGACGCAAAGCAAAGGTGTTCAGGGTGTTCGTTCCATAGACGTGTGGACGTTGTAAACGTGTTTGCAATATAATGGAATTAAGAAAGGTTTTTAAACAGACGAGTATTTTCTTATGATTATTTTTTTTTTGGACCGTCGTATACGTAAGGAATCGGTTGATTTCTTTCTAAAAAGTTGTAAGGAAACTAATAAATTCTAGAAAAACAACAGAAAGTAAGAAAACTGTTATGCATTTGATTTTAAAGAAAACCCGCTTGTCAATTTTTGGATGTGTGCACATAAAATATAAAATATATCATATCGAATTTTTAAATTATATCATTTAAAAAATCATTTGGTGCGTACGATGTTGTGGTTGAGGGAATAATTTTATTATGTATTTTCGTTTACATTTTAATAAAAACAGCGGCAATTATAAATTTCCTGGATTATTTGATGTATGGATTGTTTGAAGAATAATACTAATTTACGTAAATTATAAAGACATTCAAGAAAACTGCCTGGGATTTTACGAATTTTTTGATCACAATCATATTAGTTTAGTTTTTCAGCGATTGCTAGCGCTCTCTAAACATAACATCGGATTTGCTAATAAATGCAGACAAGTCAAATAGATAACTGTTTTTATATATACTTATTTACTCTCAATTTTTGAATTGTTGGTAAAGCCGCTGATGGATCACCGATAATACGCTTCATCGAGCAAACATCATCGGTTAGTTTTTTTTAATGTTTTGTTCTCTCTTTATAATTAAATTTAAAGCTTTTTTCATTACTATAATAAAACTTTATTTAAAACAAAAAATAAATTTCATTTTGTCCCTTTTTCTTAATTCTTTTTTTTTGTTATATTTTTTTAAATTATTAAATTCACGTACATATTTCCCTGAAAATGTATTATTCTTTGATCAATTAATTAATTTAACAAATGATTTTACTTTAATATCGCAATTAAAGAGATTTCCGGAAAAAACATTAGGGTGATAGACTTGATTGAAGGATTGAGGTTAGACTTGAGTGAAGATAACTACGAAGAACTATTTGTTTTTTTTTTTTTTTTTTTAGATTTGGTTATAAATTTTAAGTTAAATGATGCACGCAAATGAAATAACAATTTTTTTTTTTGTAGCACGGATATTTGTTTCGTATTAATAAACTGCACCCACATTAATCCGAGGAAACAGACCGGTTTACCATGTACATAACTAATTTTGAAGTAGAACACCGCATCTATGCGGTGTTAACATACGAAATGCTTCATGTTCTTTGAAAAGTTTGGGTCATTTTCAAATTTTTTTGCAAGTTTGTAGGGCGACACCTTCATTTCTGCGAACGGGAGAAAAGGGACGAACATACTTAGAAGGTGCGTTCAGAATTTGAAATTGGCCAAGAATATATATACTTTAAAGTGTTTATGAAACTTGCTCCAGTGCGTTGTAAAGGTATTGAAAAAAATTAAATTTTGGTATACATTGGGTACTCTTATGAATCAGTTTTCTTTAAAAAACATTTTAAACATTTTTGTCACAACAACAACATTTTGTCTCTTTCATGAGATGTGATCCAAAAATAGAGAAGAATAGATCAAAACTTTGTATAAAGTTATTATTATGAACGAATATTCAGGAAGAAATCTTGAACAATTCTGAAACAAAATCTTAAGTCCTTCTGGGTTTTGCATACTTCAGCACAAACTTAATATACTCTGCACCACAAGTCTTCAACTAACCGTGAACAATTATAAGATGAAAAAACAAACTAAAAAATTGCTTGTATCCAATGTAGACCCGTCGTCATCTATGGCATTTGCCAAAGCTATTCGACAGAACCACTCGATGAGGAATCACTCGTACGCGAAACGAGTTGGATTGATACTTGCTAGCCCTATAGATTATTAACCGATTTGTTCAATAATAATCATATACCCTATATCTTATTTCGTGTAGCCACTGCCATTATATGATTATATCAATTAATAAAAAATAAACTGTAAATTACCTGTATTGGGCGCGAAAAACCTTTATTCAAGTGTCTTGGCACTCCCAACGTGTAACTGTGGCTAAAGCCAACCTCCGAGCTGAGCAGATACTCGTGAAATTTGTTGGGAAAAAGTTCAATGCTGTTGTAATTGTTCAAAATCTTTGCCTGCAAATGAAGATATAAAAACAGCTATTATTATATGGAGCTATTGACAGTCCTAGTTATAGTCGCATAAAACAAATTTCATGAAACAAAACCTTACAATAAAGCTAATTGAAACATTCATCCCACCACCTAATGATAGATAGATCATTATTATTTTTTTTCTTTTGAGCACACACTGTGCGCATTTTGGGAATGCCGTTTCATAGGTCAAGTGGGGTGACGACAAAAAGAAACGAAGAAAAATAACTAAAAAAATTGTATTGGCCAATTTTCGGCTTTTAAAAAGACAGGTGTTCTCAGTTAAGTCGCACTGTCGACGCGTCTTTTAAAACGATTTAACCCGTTTTAAACACAAACCTACACACAAGCACAGCTTAATCTTTGCGGCCAGGAGAATATTTATAGATTTTCACTTCATTTGTTTTGCTTTATTCTTTACACTTGTCTGGTCTAAACCATGGTCTTCTAGATAGAATCACAACACGAGACGTAACATACAGCTGTCCCTTCTACGTCCACATTATATTTAGAATATGCCGAGTTCCAGTGAAGTCTGCCAAAATTTCGTGCCATTTCCATCGTTTGATTCCGAGTTGCAGTATCTGTACTGGCGCTACTTTTATTATTGAGCATAATGGACAAATATAAATTTCTGATTCCAATTCGGGATGCTTCTAAGCATGTCGGTCCGCTCATTTATCTATCTGTCCGTCTGCGCAACTGTGTAGTATTTATGGTAAACAATCGCAAAAATGAAGACATCGCCTACACACTTGCTAAAGAATTTCAAAAGAACAAGAGAGAAGATGCCCACACGTCTATGTAACAAAAGCTCCTTTGCTTGCTCATGAAGCGCAATACATGCACCATATAAATTTCCACTTTTATTCTGAATATAGAATAAATCAGCCGCGTCCATCCAATATGATAGAGTATGAAATTTTAATTGTTTTGCTTTTCCTAGGAGCACTGTGAGGGGTTTGGTCGCGATAGAGTATAGTTTTCTAACTTTTTTAAGGTCGCACTATTTTCTGAATATTAATAATAATGTTTGAAGTACACTCAGTATTTTAACCTGCAGATAATAATTTACATATTACTTGTCATCGAAGTGCACATGGCAGTTAAGATATCTGATCTCTAAGCTTTGTGTATTGCTAAATCCGGAAGTATATTTTCCATTTCACCGAATACGATTTTTTCTACTGTTTTCAAAACACTAGAGTTGCCAATTTATCAAACTTTAAAAGTTCTATTTTACCGAAAAAATGGAATTAATCCGTGATTGTTTTCGTGCCATAATTTATTGCAATATTCAAGGCAACAAAACATCGATGAACTTGCTTCCACATTTAGCAGTCTCGGTCACAGTGAAACGCTGGCATAGCGCATTTAATGGTGGCCGCCGATTATTTACCCAAAAAATGATCTCAAAATCAATTGTTATGACAGCAAACATACCAAAAAGTGATGTACCTGAGATTAATGTAGCCTTAGGCACTAGTTCCACTGGCATATATAAAATATTGTATAATCATTTATCAGCAAAAAAAGTGTTTTCTCTTTGGATTCTACATGTTTTCACGATATATCAACAAGATATCCCTGTCGACTGGTATAGACTTGCTTCAAAAAACGCATATAAAATTATAGCTGGTGAATTATGGATTTATGCTTGTAGTCGGAATGTAAATAACGGCCGACTGTCCTTTCATTCAACCTACCACATACGTGCTCGAAGCACTTTTTTTTTAGTCAGCCATTCAGCGTGGAAGGTTACAGGTATGGATAGTAAGACAGGGCCAGCATTTCTGTACGTTCAAATTGAAAGTGGAAACATCTGGAAGGAGAGATCGCTGGTGGTAGGTTATTCCAAAGGCGATACATTCCGTATTTGGCAGTCAATAGCTTCTCTCAAAGGCAACGAATAAATTGCGTGCACAAAGATTATTGTCAGAGTGACTGATGTTTCTGTTAACGGCACTAAACATTAGCTTCTAAACATGCATCAACAACATTAAACGCATATTTAATCAACGGATGGACCACGTTATGTTCTATCATATTAATCTGATTAATTTTTAAAGAAATCTTACCAGTCAACCATAGAATTATTAAAAAAATTGGTGTCCTAAACAAAAGCTAATAACTGACTCCACTATCTTAAAAGGGATATCAGACCTTTCGTTTCGCAATTCTAAAATCTTTACACCAATGGCTTCGCCTTTCTTTATTTATTTATTAATTTATTTATTCTACTTATACAAAAAACTCAACTAAAACAAATTGGCAGTCGAGTTCAGTAGACTCTTAAAGTAAATCTTAAATAAATTAGTATTAAAACTTAATATAAGTACAATAAAACAAATAAGAAGGAAAAAAAAAAAAAAAAGCATGTACACAACTAGCATAGAGCCACACCCACAACCGGTACAAGACCAAATTGCAAGTGAACCCCTAAGCCATCGCAAACATGCATAAGATTGGCAACCGATAATACTTAACAACAATTAACTTTCGACTCATAATAACTTTTTAAGGTTAAAAGTTAGTTCAAGTACGACATAGGTAAATCGCGCGTATTAAGCAATGTTGCTTTGAAGGACTTTAAAGAGTCCATTAATGAGAATAAGTGATAGACGTCATTTAGGTTCTTGCGAACAACTCTGAGGAGGTTAAACAGTTCGTAATTATATGTGCATTGACTAAGCTTTATCAAGACAAACTGCCTAGAGAAGCGGTTAGGGACATTAAAGCCTATATCACGAAGTAATGGGGGCGAGTCAATTGTACAATTAACTAATTTGATTACAAAGGAAGCCCCAAGAACAAATCTACGTTTCTCCAGGTAAGGATAACAGAAGCAACCTATTTTCATAGGGTGGAAGAGGGGCAGTCGGGTCCCAACCCAAATTCCTAAGCGCAAACAGCAAGAATTCCTTTTGAACAGATTCAATTGAATCTACGTAGCACCTATATGAAGGAGACCACACAACAGAGTCATACTCAAGTATAGGTCTAAAAAAACACATGTAAAGCCTTTTCGTAATATGAGGATCATGAAGCTCTTTGGACCACCTCTTTATAAAACTAATCTCGGACCTAGCTTTGCTTAACAAGAGCTCAATATGCACATTGAAACGTAATCTATAATCAAATAGAACGCCTAAATCTGTGAACGAATGGACGTCTTCCAACTTGTGCGAATCAATGAAATACTGAGTAATGAACGACTTCCTTCTTGAGAAAGAAAGCTTCTTACATTTATTTAGATTTAGTTTCAGAAAATTCAAAGAGCACCATGCAACCAAATTATTCAAATCACTTTGAAGATGATATGATTACGATTCTACGGAAAAGGAGGAAAACAGTTTCACATCATCAGCATACGTTAGGATCCCGCTGAATTAAATCACGGAGGGAAAATCATTGATATATAAATTAGATAAAATGGGTCCTAAGTGACTAGCTTGAGGTACGCCAGACGTCACGGGGAATTCATCCGTGGTAATGATGTTAAACAAAACCTTGAATGATCTACCATGTAGATAAGAGCTTAACCATTCCACTAAGAAGAAAGGTAATCCAGAGGCTGGGGGTTTGAAGATAAGTAGTCTACCGTTAACCAAATCAAACGCTTTGCTAAAGTCAGTATATACGACATCAGTGCGAGAGCCACTAGAAAAAGCCTTGAAAACATGAGAAGTAAACAGATTGGTGACCGTAGATCTTCCCTTTCGAAAACCATGTTAGAAAGGAGAAATATACGATTTCATGGAAAAGGTTATGTGCTGAGCCACAAATCGCTCAAACAGCTAAGGGAACACACTCAACTTGGCTATGCCCCTGTAGGTCTCTACAAGTTGCCTACTACCACTTTTGTGAATAGGAATAAGGAAACAAGTCTTCCAGCACAAAGGGAAAACACCTGAAATCAAGGACTTGCTAAAAATCTTTGAGATAACACGACATAGCTCGCCAGCACCAGATATAAGTACACATGAGGGGATTCCATCAGATCCAGGCAAACAATTATATTTTTGAGAGCTCAATCCTTCAAAAACGTCATTTTCAGATATAACAAAGTTAGAAATTGAAATCAAACAGATATCGAATATGGATAGTTTGCTGATAAATCAAAATGAGCAGTTGAAAAGTTCTGTCGGAAGTATTCCGCAAAGAGATTTCAGGTTTCAAAATCATACGAGGGCTCGGAGCCATTAAAAGACACAAACGACGGATTTATGGAGATTTTTCTTTTGGAATTAACGAACTTAAAAAAGTATTTAGGGTTAGCAAACAACGAGGACTTAACAAACTGAAGGTATCTGCAGTAGTATTGGCGGTTGAGGGAATTAAATTTATGCCTTGCAACAGAATAAGCGAAATGATCGAAAGAAGAACCACTTTTCGAAAATTTTTTGAAAAGCTTGTTTTTCCTATTCTTGTAGTATTTAATTGTTTTATTAAACCACGGGGGACCCTTGCTTCGAGGACGGGACTGCTTGATCGGAACGGATGCAGAAATAGCTTGATTTAATATATTGTAGAACGACGACAGTAAGCTATCAATGCTTCCCTCTGAGAATTCGAGCACAATATGAGAAAGATGTGATTTTAGTATGGAAACATTGATTTTATGGAAATCATAAAGTTTATATGAAAAATTTGAATTTTGAACGTTATAGAAGTTCAACGAACCAACATGCTTGTAATGAAACGAAATACCCAATGCTGGATGATATGGATCCTCAGGTAAACTAAACGGAAGAGAACGATTAACGCAACTCTAATGGAAATTGGCAAAGCAAAGATCAAGCAATCTACCATTGCAATTAGAGGTACCATTGTATTGAACTAAATTATGATCAAATAATTCATTAAACAACACAACGTGTCTACCAGATGTTGAGGTAGGAATCAAACAGCCAGAACTATCACAGTAACACCAAGTGACTTAAGGCTAATTGAACTCATCCAACGCAATGACTATATCGGTA